CTCCAGCAGCTCCAGAACCTCCAGCTCCAGCGCCTCCAGCGCCACCAGCGCCAGCACCTCCAGCAGCTCCAGAACCTCCAGCGCCAGCACCTCCAGTACCAGCGCCACCAGCAGCTCCAGAACCTCCAGCTCCAGCGCCTCCAGTGCCAGCACCTCCAGCAGCTCCAGAACCTCCAGCGCCAGCACCCCAGGTCCAGCAGTACCTCCGGCCTCAGTACCTTTAGTAGCAGCACCCCAAGAACCGACACCTCCAGCTCCAGGCTCGACAGCACCAGCTCCAGCGTCTCCAGCCCCAGTACCTCCAACATTAGGACCACCAGGTCCAGCAGCTCCTCCAGCCCTAGCAGCTCCAGTACCTCCAGTACGAGCACCTCTGGGACTAGCGGCTCCAGCACCACCAGCAGACAAAGCACCAGCACCACTCCCAGCTCCAGCGCCAGCAGCTCCAACAGCACCTCCTGCGGCAGGGTCAGCAGTACCACCAATTCCATGGTCCTCAGACCCAGCTGCTCCAGCGTCACCGCTCCTTGCTCACCAGCTCCAGTACCCTCTGAAACGGCACCCCCAGCTCCAGTGACGTCAGCAGAAGCGCTACCAGCGGCAGAGCCCCGAGCTCAAACAACGCGACCCTGATGACGAGCGTACCACTCGTGTAGCTGCTGTGGGGAGAGAGGCTCACGCCGACGAGTGTGACTACACAGGCGGCAACTCCAAGGAGATTGCTCACCAGCAGCCTCGGTACCCTCGGGCGCAGTACCCCCAGACTCAACACCCCCAGACTCAGCACCCCCAGGCTCAGCACCCCACGCTCAGCACCCCCAGAGGCAACACCCCGGGCAGGACCACCCCCAGCAGGACTTGAGTCGCCAGTGACCTCAACAGGCTCAGTCAAGGGAGGGTCCACCTGAGACACACCTAAAGGAGCAGGACCTGGAGGGGGGAGGGGGGAGGGGCTGTGCAGTAGGGAAAGAGATGGTAAAAGGGGACTGGCTCGTCGAAGGTGACGTCCTGAGACGCAAAGACACAGCGCGAGGCCGGGTCGTAAAACTGCCAGTCAGGCACGTCACGAGGAAAGCCAAGGAAGACACAGGGAATGGCGCGAGCAGAGAGCTTGTCCGCGGTGAGATCGCGGACAAAGGCACGAGCATCCAAGACCCGGAAACGCGATGCATCGCCAACCTCCCCCGTCCAACGTAGTGTGGGCAAAGTTTCCGGCATGGAGACACGAGGTCAGAGGTTTAGCTGATGCGCGGCGTACCGGACCGCAAACGGCCACAGAAAATGGGGGGCAGCCGCTTAAATCATGAAGGTACGAATGACCTCCATGTCTAAGCAAATGAGGCACTCAGCAACCCCATTTTGCTACGGAGAGGCCGGAAGCGTGAACGACTGGCGGATGCCCTCCTCCTCACAGAAGGCTCGCAAGAGGTCGGAGGTGAACTCACCACTTCTGCCAGAATGCAGACGCAGGACAGGAAAGTCCGACTCGAACCGCTCGCGGAGCTGGAGACGAACAGCACGGATCCAAGGGATCAGAACAGCAGGGACATCCCCTTTGTGCTGCAAGGGGAAGACCGTGGTGTAACGCGTGTAGTCGTCGACAACCAGCAGGAAGTACCGCCCTTGCGGCCCTGCCCCTGGACGCGGGCTGGGCCCCACACGTCCAAGTGGAGAGTCTGCAGTGAAGCCTCTTTAGGAGGGAACGAGGAGGAGTGAGGATCGGCGCGCTGCCGCCCCTCGATGCAAGGAATGCAGGGCGGCGCAGGCAAGGGAGGGAGGGAGGGCAGAGACATGGGAAGACCAGAGACCAGGGAGCGAGAGTGCCTACCATGAAGGCGGGGCAGGGAGGTGTGACCAAGGCGGTGGTGCCAAAGGAGAGTTTGGTGCGACAGACGGCGACACTCACACTGGGTAGCTACCTGAGCAGACGCGTACAGCTGAGGAGACAAAGGGGCGTAGCGCGACACAGCGGTGAGAGTGTACAGATTGGACCCAGGCGCACGTGTGAACATGGCCAGGTGGCGGCCGGTCCGAGAGCACGTGCAGTGCGTCACACGCTGTCCTCCAGGAGTAAAGGTGTCAACCCAGTGATCCTGAAGGACGGCGGTGCTCACCAGGTTCGTAGAGAACGAGGGGATGTGGAGACCTGACAGCTCACCAGACGGGACCGCCGGGCACGGAAGCACAGTAGTGGACCGTGCAAGCACTGGGCCCCTAGAGGGGTCAGCCAGTGAGACAGGGACAGATGTAGGGAGGGGAGTGACTATGGTGCTGTCGCGAAAGAAGCAACCAGAAGTACCAGAGTCAAGTGTAAAGGTGTGCAAGGCCTCACCATGCGCAGTCTCAGCGAGAGGAGACTCACTAGCACCTAGAGCAGCAGCTGCTATACCAGGGTCAGGGGGCACACACAGGTAACAGTCACCCTCAGTAGTACCAGTCAGAGCATACATGGCAGTAAGGATAGTGTCATAGTCTAGAGCAAAGATACCAACCTTGTTGCGCAGCAGCTCTAGCCAGAGGGGAAGCTTAGCCTCATCGCCAAACACTGCACGCCAGGCGTCACTCAGACGGGCGAAGCAGCGAGCCTGTGTGTGAGAGAGCGTCCCGCAAGTCTGACCAGCCCGATCACCTGTGCGAATGATGTACGGGCAGCGGGCAGTACTCCTACGCCCCCCACTCTGAGCGTACCACTCACGAAGCTGCTGGCGCGTAAGGGTCTCGCTCGGACGCCGCTGCAGCTGCATCTGGCCACCGCCAGGAACTCCGCACTGACCAGCTCCACCGCGACTGCCACGACGGCCGCCGCCAGCACACCACCTGGCGTACCACTCACGAAGCTGCTGGGGCGTAAGGGTCTCGCGCGGACGCCGCTGCAGCTGCATCTGGCCACCGCCAGACACTCCCCACCGAACAGCTTTATGGCGACTGCTACTACGGCCACCACCACTCCCACTGCTGCCACCACCGCCGTCACCACTCCCACCGCTACTACGAATTGAAGTTATAGCGGGCAAGCAAGGAGGCACACGACCGGTAGGGGATTACAGAGGGAAGGCATTAGTACGAGCAACAGCAGCAGCAGCAGCAGCAGTAAGAGTAGCAAAGCGGCTCGGTGAGGCTGGGCTGCAGCACCTCCAGCACTCCTAGTAGCACCTCCACCAGCAGCAGAAGTAGCACGAGCAGCAGGGCGGATCAGGATGGGCAGGGCGGCGCGGCTCAGGCTGGGCGGCGCGGGCAGCAGGGCGCGCGCTGTGCAGGGCAGCAGGGCGCGACGCGCGGGCTGCAGCAGGGCGCGACGCGCGGGGCAGCAGGGCGCGACGCGCGGGCTGCAAGGCGGACGAGTGACGCGACGGGCAGGTAGCCCGCACGGGCGACGCGATGGGCACGGGCAGGGCGGACGGGCGACGTGACGGGCAGGCAGCCCGCACGGGCGACACGACGGGCAGGCAAGGCAGACGGGCGACGCGACGGGGTGGGGCAGCCCGCACGGGCGACGCGACGGGCAGGCAGGGTGGAAGGGCGACGCGACGGGCATGGGCAGGGAAGACGGGCGATGCGACGGGCTGCAGGGGCGCATGGCGCGACGGGCAGCCGGGGTGCGCGACGTGCGCGAGGCAGGGCAGAACGTGCGCGGTGTCGCGATATATATTTATATATGTTAATAATAGCCTGTAGCTTTAGCTTTAGAGTAGTTATACAAACATGGTTGGTGGTGCACCTCTTGTTTGTTTGCAATATGTACCTTTGGTCCTATAGTGAACACAACACATTCTCACTTCCCTTGGCCACGATACTCCCGACATATATTTTTTTTTTTTTAATAGAAGGCTTTTCACTATATCAGGGATACAGCAAAAAGGGCCACGTGCCTTCTTTTGATCCACGCCTTCCTTCGCTTGATGCCTTCGTAAGTGCGCGCATGCAGGCAGAATGGTGTCGCGATCCTCCGCATCACCTTCCTGCACTGGAATCTCCGTCCCCTGAAGACCGCGTAATAGCCGACACCGTCAACTTCGGAAAACCGGAGGCAGTCCCCCGCGCTAGAAAAGCAGGTCACCAAGTGTCCTCGCTCTCCGCGCTGGGTTGAACCAGCGGATCGCATCTTTGAGAGCCCCCACCACCGGCTGAACAACCCGGCAGGAGAACAATGCATGGTCCACCGACTCTGCCTCCCCGCAGTGTGGGCATTTCGCCCGCTCCCCCAAGAACTCCAAGCGATCCCCCACTTGCAGGTTAAAGCAGTGGGCTCGCAACAGGACATCCCACGCCTTTGCGGGGACCACATGAGAGTCTCTGCGCGCAATCGCCCGTTTCCAGTCAATTTTCTTCCCCCACAGTTGCTCCCACTCTGCACGACGAGGCAGTTTGTCCGGCTGCTTGCGCCTCACCCCCAGCCCTTCTCTCAACTGCTTCAGTGAGGCCGCCAGTTTACCCACGCAGAGCTCCGATTTTAATAGCATGCTGCGCGGCTCGCCCAGCTCCCCGACTACCTCGTCCCCTATCACCGCCATTGGCGTGACTTCTGACACAGACAGTGTCTTAACCCTCGCTCCCTCAGGCACGAACCACGACTTTCCGTCCTCGTGCGGGCACATCTTCACGCAATAGAGCAGGTTGCCGAGGGCTTTTTGAACCCGCCACAACTTTATCCCTCTCACCGTCGTTCTCACCATCGCTGTGGCTTCCGCCAGTTCCTCCGACGTGAGCGGCTTCAAGATCTGCGCCTTCCAGTCGTCGCTTAGCGCCTCCCTGGCCGCCATGGCTGTTTCTGCTGCCTACTTGCTGCCCAAGTCTCGAGCCAGCAGTTCCGACGATTTCCAACTTCTAGTGCCATCTGCCCATTTCGTGAGCAGGTCCCCCACCATGGTCTTGTGGAGGCACTCGTCACCTTTGCGCTGTCCAAAAGGGCAGCTGCCGTCACGTAGGATGTGCTTGTTGAAGAGCACCCGCTCCTTCTCGATATCCCATCTGCTCCCTACCGCCAGGTTCATGACAGCCGGCTACTTCATTGCCGCCACCGCAATTGCCTTCCACCGTTCACTCCCTGTGCCCCACTCTTTCAGCAGCGCCTCATGCGCAAGGAGGGAAGCATAGCCGAGCGGGAAGTTCGCCGCACGCTCTGCCAACAACCGCTGCTGCGGCATCTCCTCCGTGAGCAGCTGCGCCAGCGAGTGAAGCGCCTCAGCATCCAGCCGGTCCTTCAGGTTTATCACCCCAAGTCCCCCTTCCTCCCTTTTGAGTTGCATGAGATCCCTATTCCAGAGAATGAAGCATGGCTCCAAGCTCGCCCGTCCCCCGGAGACGAAGGCGTGGCACAGTCTCCTTAGCTCCTCCCAGATCGTGTCTGGCGGGGGGTAAACTTGCGCCTGGAACAACGCGATGGGCATGACATACGTGTTGACCACTGTTACCCGCGCCGTAGTGGTAAGAAATTTCGCCTCCTATTTGTTCAGCTCTGCTTCCATTCTGCTTAAAGCCTTCTTCCACGACGGCTTTACGTCTCCTCCTGGCTTGATCCAGACACCCAGCAGACGCTCCGGGTCATCGCGCGACGCCCACTTGAAGGCCCCATCCGCAGGTGGTGGGATATCGCGCTGCCTCCCCAGCGGCAGCACCACCGACTTGTCCCAGTTAACTGCTAGCCTCGACATCTGCTCAAACTCCTTCAGCTGCAGCTCCGCATTCCCCAGCTGCGATCGGCCGCCCAGCAGCAAGGTAGTGTCATCAGCGTACCCCAGGTAAGTCAGCTTTCCTGCTTCCTTAACGTTGATTCCTAACCACCTCCTCCTCGCCTCCTGGCAGAAAGGCTCAACCGCACACAGGAACAAGTACGGCGCGAGGGGACAACCTTACCTCACCCCGGTCAGGACTGGGACCTCATCTCCCAGCCAGCCGTCATTCCAGATACGAGTCGCTGCGCCCTGATGCAACCCCTCCACCCACTTCACGTATGTCTCTGGGAAGCCCATCTTCCGTAGCACGTCAAAGAGGTACCCGCGCGCCACCGAGTCAAAAGCCTTGCGGAAATCAATCAGGAGCATGAGCCAGTCTTCCTGCCCTGCGTTGGCCACATCAATCAAGTCTGCCGCAACCGCCACCGCGCCAGCGATGCTCCTTCCAGGTAAGAAGCCGAATTGCCCAGTTGACACCACGCTCTCCAGCCTGTTTTTTATCCGGTTCGCCAACACCTTTGCAATCAGCTTGTATAACGTGCTTAGCAACGTAATTGGGCAGTAATTCTGCAAGTCGTCCTTAGCGCCCTTCTTGTGCAGGAGCACAGTCACAGCAGTTGAAAATTCCTTAAGAAGTTTCCCCGTCCGTTCGAAGTCCTTCAGAAACTACATCATTTGTTTCCCCAGCAGCTCCCACTGCGACTCCCAGAGCTCCTTTGGGAGACCATCCCGCCCCGGCGTCTTGCCCAACGCCATCTCCGTCAGCGCACGTTTGACCTCCGCCTCTTCCCAGGGCGCGCTGAGCGCCGCCACATCCTCCAGGGAGAGACACTTGTCCACCGACCAATCCAACTGTGTGTCCGCCCCCGCTGCGAACAACTTGGTGTAGAAGTCCGACGCGGCCCTCAGCGCCTCCTTCGCCCCTTCATACCGGGACCCCTGGTAAAGTACATCTGCCAAGCGTGTCTTCGCCTTCCGCGCCTTTACCCTGGATGAGAGGAAACCCGTGGGGATTTCACCATTCATTTCCACCTTGATCCTCGCTTGCTCCTGCAGCTTACGGCGCCTCCCTTCCACATATGCCTTGAGCTTGGCTTCACACTTTCCCAGTCGCGCCTTCGCCCGCGAGCAACGAGGTTTGCACATCACCTTCTACCTCAGCTCTCCGACCTCCCGTTCAAGGTGCGTTGTTGTAGCCGCTACCCACTTCCGCTCTTCCACCGTGTAAGCCTTAAGGCCCACCTTCAGAGACACCATCAGCGCCTCCAGATCCCCTCCTCTCGCTGCGTTCTTTCTAACAATCAGCTCCACCCGCCGCTGCACCCCAGGGCGCGGCACCTGCGACGCTGGAAGCCTCCAGAGCCCCGGGCCTGACTCTCCGTCTCCCCCCGCACTGAGCTGCAGGTGGACCGCGGACCAGTGGTCCGTGAACTTCTTGATCAACCCCACATGTCGCACATCGTGGACCTGGTGAATCAGCGCATGCGAGAGGAGTAGGCCCGACATATGTCGGCCTAGGCTCCTAAGCCTAGGCCCTAAATCTTACGTTAGAACTTTGACATGATACAGAGATAGGTTCGATTTAGAACTCGTTTTTACATGGGCCCACCGTTAGCCCCCGTCGTGGCGCATCCTGTCGCGCAGCCCGTAGAGCGCATCGTGAGCGCCACGACGATCAGCTCACCGCGTTGCCCTGCTGCAGCTCGTCGCCTCGCGCTACCCGCTGCTGCAGCCCGTCGCCCGTCCCGTCACGCTGCCGCTCGTCACCCGCCTCGTCGACCGTCGCCCGTCCCGTTGCGCTGCCCCCCGCCACGTCACGTCCCGTCGCCTGCCTCGTCAGCCCGTCGCCCGTCCCGTTCGCACTCCGCCGCCCGCCGCCAGGTCCCCACCTGCCCTCCCGTCGACTTCGCAACTGTTGTGAAGGGAGTGACGGGAGTGGCGAGAGTGACGAGAGTGGTGGGAGTGGCAGGAGATGCTGCTGCTACGCCACTGCACACACCAGATCGCTCGCTCCCCGCCGTCATGAACCCGACGCCTCGTCACGCCCCACCGTTACGGCCCCAGTTTACCCACGGATCCACGGACCCGTCAGCAAGCGAGCCAGCGGACCTGCCGACGGACCCGCCAGAGCGCGCGTCAGCAAGCTGGCCGACGAGCTCGCCGACGGAACCGCGAGCCCGCCAGCACGCGCGTCCACAAGCCGATCCGCTCACGAACCCGCCGACGGACCCGCCAGCGAGCTCGCCGACGGATCCGCCAGCGAGCTCGCCAACGGATCCGCGAGCCCGCAAGCAAGCCAACCGACGGACCTGCCGTCGGACCCGCTGTCAGCACCAGCACCAGCTCCAGCCGCTAGCACCAGCACCAGCACCAGAGACCCCGCCAGCAGCTACCCCGCCAGCAGAGAACCCCGCCAGCAGAGAACCCCGCCAGCAGAGAACCCCGCCAGCGGAGAACCCCGCCAGCAGAGAACCCCGCCAGCAGAGAACCCCGCCAGCAGCGAACCCCGCCAGCAGAGAACCCCGCCAGCAGAGAACCCCGCCAGCAGAGAACCCCGCCAGCAGAAAACCCCGCCAGAGCGCAACCGCCGGTGTCCAGCGGCAGCAGCATCGTACGCGTGCCCCCCCCCTCCCTTCCGCGTTTTCCACTGTGGGAGGGGGGGGGGGGAGAGATGAGGGGGTGGCGGGAGTGACCAGAAATTCGTCCCGCGCTGCCTCTCCTCCTTTCTCTCTCCCTGCAGGGCTTGTCGCTATGGGGAAGGGGGCGAAGAGAGGTTGAGGGGGTGGGAGAAGCAAGTCGGGCATCTGCAGCTGTTGCCTGTAGCAGGCAGGCCCCCGGAGGTGCTGAGCTGTGCTATTGTGCTGCTCGTTGCAGCCACGGCGCATGCTCTCACGCCCACCTGCCGGGTCCTGCATCTGTCGCTGCTGCATCTGCCGTGGCTGAGGTCACTGTAGCTCCACCTGCCATCACTTCAACTGCTGTCTGTTGCTGGCACGCCCCGGGAGGTGCTGAGCTGCGCTGTCCTGCTGCTCGTTGCGGCGCAGCGCTTGGTCTCACGCCCACCTTTCGGGTCCCGCACCTGCCGTTGTTGCAATTATTATGGATGACATGTGTTACTGTTTGTCAAACATTATACATGTTGTATTTGTGTAGGCTGTAGTGGGTTAGCCTATAGGGGGGTCACAACATTAGGGTTTCATATTTGTACTCACAATCCTTGCTAGTTCATCATTCCAGTCCGTTATTACTGACATGGTTTCAGAGCAGGTCCTTCGCTAGGACCGTTCTTAGGGCCCACCGTTACCTACATACCTACCTACCTACTGTGCGCCTCGTGCGCCTACGCGCCCTCGTGCGCCTCCTACCTACCGCGCGCGCGCAGCCCGCCAGCCGCCCGCGCGCGACTCGGTTTTTTTTTTAGCGCGCGTATCCCGCTAGCCGCCCGCGCGCGGTCGATTTCGCTGCGCGCGCCCCGCTAGCCGCACGCGCGCGGCTGTTTTCTTTACGCGCGGCCCCGCACGCTGCCCGCGCGCTGCCTGTGCGCCTCGCTGACGCGCCCGCTGCTGCAGCCGCCCGTCGCCCGCTCGCGCACACCCCGCCGTGGCCCCGCAGGCCCGCAGCTCGCCGCCGCAGCTGCCGCACGCCCGTTGCCCGCAGCCGCCCGTCCGCCGACGCCGCTGCCGCCCGTGCACCGACGCCGCTGCCACCCGTGCGCTGCTGCCGCTGCTGCTTGCGCACCGCTCGCTGCTGCAGCCGCCCGTGCGCTGTCGGCGCTGCTGCCCGTGCGCATACGCCGCTGTCACCCGTCCGCATAAGCCGCTGCCGCCCGTGCGCCTCTGCAGCCGCCGCCCGCGAGTCGCCCGCTACCGCTAGTGCGCCGCAGCTCCTGCCATTCGGTCGCGCACCGCTGCAGCTCCTGCTGTCGCGCTCCCTACTACTGCCGCTCGTGCACCACGCCGGCCCCGTTGACCCTGCGCACACCTTTCCAGCGGCCTTGTTCCTACTGCTACTACTGCTACCGCTACTGTTTCTCCTACTACTGCTACTGTCACTATGGCTAGTCCTCTCGTTCTAGCTTTCGATGCCGAGGGCCGCCCAGTGAAGTTCGAAACCTGGCTAGATGACCTGCACCTGTTCCTACAGCTCACTGCCAAAGAAGACATCTCGCTGTACGACCATGCCCTAGGCCATGCCACTGCCCCTGACTCGTCTGCTGACAGCACTCTGCGTTCCCAGTGGCAGACCCGTGATGCGCACGCTCGCTTTGCTATTCGCAACTCCCTGCCGCTAGACGAGCGCGAGCACTTCGGCCAGTGCAAGACTGCTAAGGACCTCTACACCGCTGTAGTTGCCCGCTACTCCTCACCCGCTTCTGCCACGCTAGGCCGCCTCACTCTCCCCTACCTGTTCCCCGACCTAGCCTCCTTTCACACTGTCGCAGACCTCATCACCCACCTTAAGACTAGTGAGGCCCGCTTTCGCGCTGCTATGCCTGCCGAGTTTCTCACTAGCAACCCCCCCCCGCTCTGGATCACTCTCTACCACATCGTCACCCGCCTCCCTGACTCTCTGCGCGCTGTCAGGGACCACTTCCTCTCTCGCTCCCCCACTGAGCTCACTGTTGCCCTCCTCGAGAAGGAACTGCTTGCAGCTGAGGCGAGCATCGTCGCTGTAGGCACCTCTCGTGGCGACCCCCGCACCCCGTTCTTTGAGGGGTGTTCCCCTTCCCCCCTCCTCCCCTCTGTCGCCTCTGCTTCTGCTGTCGACCTTCTTGGTGCTGAGAAGGTCGGGACCGCGTCTGCTTCGAGCGGGCGCCGCAGGAACAAGGGGGGCAGGGGTGGGGGTGGTGGCGGAGGAGGTGGGGGTGGAGGCGGTGGGAGTGGAGGCGCGACTGGGGAGGCTAGTGGCGGCAGTGGGGGAGGAGACAGCAGCGGCGGGAGCGGTGGCAGGGGTGGAGGCGGCAGCGGAGGTGGAGGTGGTCGTGGCGGCGGCAGGGGTGGAGGTGGCCGAGGCGGTGGTGGTGGCGGTGGTGGTCGTGGAGGCACTGGCGGAGGGCAGAGTCAGCAGCCCACCCCGACGCTTCAGGCCGCCCGTGAGTGGTATGCGCAGCGTAGCGTTACCTACACGTATGTCGTTCGCACAGGTGACCGCAGCGGCCAGCAGTGTGGGAGGCCGCACCCCACGCAGCGCTGCTTCGCGCGCCTTAACGACGCGTGGCGCACTCAGTTTCCTGCTGCCACTGAGCTGCCGCGCTGGGCTGATCTGGAAAAGAGGGGTGTTGATATTTGGGCTTTAGACTTTGATGCTATTCTCACTGCCATGTATGCGATGTCTATTAGTGGAGAGGGTGCTCAGTACTTGCGTGTTCCGCCCGACCCGGGCATTCAGGCCAGTCCGGCTGCCGCTCTAGGTGCTAGTGCGTCTGCTCCCACAGGTTCTTGTGAGGCTGCAGCCCTAGGTGCTCGTGCGTCCGTGCCCCCTGGTACTGAGTCGACTGCAGCACTGCACACCTTCACACTGGACTCAGGTGCTTCTCGCTCCTTCTTTCGTGACCGCACTGTCCTTGAGCCACTCGCTCGGCCAGTTGCTGTCTCCCTTGCTGACCCCTCTGGGGGTCCGGTCATTGCGACCTCCTCCACTGTCCTTCCTTGTCCGGCGGTCCCGTCTGGCACGCTGTCAGGTCTCTACCTCCCCTCGTTCTCTACGAACTTGGTGGCAGGTAGTGCGCTCCAGGACGGGGGTGTTCACCAGTTCACCCCTGCCTACGAGCGCGTGACACACTGCACGTGTGCTCGGACGGGTCGCCACCTGGCTACCTTCACTCGGGAGCCGGGGTCGGACCTTTACACACTGACCACTGAGTCCCCTCAAGTAGCTGCGTCCGCGTCTGCGTCTGCGTCAGGTCAGCTGTCCGCCCCCTGCTCGTGTCGCTCTCTGGCGCATGAGACTGTCCTTTGGCACCACCGCCTTGGTCACCCGTCTGTGCAGCGCCTTCGGGCCATGCACAAACGGGACCTTGTTGCTGGTCTTCCCAGGGTGCTCCCTCCCCTTCCTGACTCGCCTGCTCCTCCCTGTATTCCCTGTGTCGAGGGACGGCAGCGCGCCGCTCCTCACTCCTCCTCCTTTCCCCCGACGACTGCTCCCTTGCAGACGCTCCACATGGACGTGTGGGGCCCAGCCCGCGTCCGTGGTCAGGGTCAGGAGAGGTACTTCCTGATTGTTGTTGACGACTTCTCGCGCTACACCACGGTCTTCCCCTTGCGCGCCAAGGGTGACGTCCCTGATGTCTTGATCCCTTGGATCCGCAGATCTCGTCTCCAGCTCCGTGAGCGTTTCCGCTCCGACTTCCCTGTCCTGCGTCTGCACTCTGACAGAGGTGGGGAGTTTTCCTCTGGCCTATTGGAGGCCTTCTGTCAGCAGGAGGGCATTGAGCAGTCGTACACGCTTCCGGCCTCTCCACAGCAGAATGGGGTTGCTGAGCGCCGCATTGGTCTGGTCATGGAGGTCGCTCGTACCTCCTTGAGCCATGCGGCTGCCCCCCATTTTCTGTGGCCGTTTGCAGTCCGATACGCTGCGCATCAGCTCAACCTCTGGCCCCGTGTCTCCTTGCCCGAGACTTCTCCGACACTGCGTTGGACGGGAGAGGCTGGCGATGCGTCGCGTTTTCGGGTCTGGGGATCCCGAGCTTTTGTCCGCGACACGTCCGCGGACAAGCTCTTCCGTCGCGCTGTCCCCTGCGTCTTCCTTGGCTTTGTCCCGGACGCCCCTGGCTGGCAGTTCTACCACCCCACCTCGCGCCGTGTCCTGCCCTCTCAGGACGTCACTTTTGACGAGTCCGTCCCCTACTACCGCCTCTTCCCCTACCGCACTGCCCCGCTCCCCCCCCCGCCTCTCTTCCTCGCTCCAGGTGCTGAGGTACCAGACCCCCTCCCCCCTCAGGGTGCCGCTCCCTCAGGTGTGTCCCAGGTAGACCCGGGTGAGCCTGTCGAGGTAGCTGTTGACTCTCGTCCTGCCAGGGGTGCTG